GTCTAGCGAACCGCGGGGACTAGTATATATTACGAGGATATATAACGTAAGGAGTAAGGAATATTAAACGGACTAATAGGCTAATTAAGTTTAAAGCGATAGGTTACTTTAGCGCTCTAACGCTCTATGGCTAGGATTATAGGATCGCTCTAGCGCTCTAGCGCTCCTAGGCTATAGGATTACCTAGTGCTCTCGGCGATCTAGGGAAGCTCTCGAAATATATAAGGAAGGAACGGAATACTCTTTTAGATAGATAGCTCGATAGCTTTTAATATAGATCTTTATTATAATTCTATCTTTAATTCTAATTACCTAGTTATAGTCTATAGTCTATAACCTCTAACTTATTACTAATATAATATACTTATTATTACTTAGACCACGCCCTATTATATCTACTAATATAAACCCCTCGATAAGTTTATTACTTAGGAATAATACTAGTTATTATACTTATCTAGTAAGTTACTATAGCTCTAAAAACGTCTTTAATAGCACCTTTTAGTTAATTAACTAAGACTTATACGTTAGTTTCTAGGATAAAATATATACTATATAGGTATATTCTTAGTCTTTTAAGCGTACTTAATATAGCCTTATACTCCCTCTTTATTATATTATATTTAGTTTCTACTAATAACTATATTATACTTTCGAACCTTATAAGGCGCTTCTTTCTATTAACGATTTATATTAAGACTACTCCCTAGCTAAGTAGACTAGTATTATATATTAAAATAATATCTCCTTTTCCTAAGCTAACGTTAAGGGATACTAAAAAGACTAGATTAATAATAGCTTCCTTAAAGGTAGCTATTACTTTTACTTATTTATCTCCTTACTCTTAGTAGACTTCTTTCTTTAATAGGTCTATAAGGGGTTTTACTAAAATAGTAAACTATTTAATTTAGATTCGATAGTATCCTATAATACTAAGGAAAGCTTTAATATAAATTATATTAAGGTATCTTATCTATTCCTTAATCTTAATAACTTTAGCTTTTATAAGGTACCTTCTATTTATTCTATAGATATAACTAATAACTTCGGTTACTTATTAATAGAATTTCGATTTAGCCCTTATAATTATATAACTAAAGAGTTCGACGTTAACTAAGACTTTATTAAGGTTAATAAGGTATTTAAAGATAAATCTCTTTACTCTTAGCGCCTCTTCTTTATTACTATATATTATATTAGGCCCTTTAATACCTATATTATTAAGGAAATTCCTATAGATATTTAGTATAAGGTCTTATAAGATTCTTTATATTATCCTTATAAATTAGCCGACTAAGTTTATAGCCCTTTAAGGAAGTATATATATATATATAAGAGGCTAATAGGTATCGCGAATATCGTTAAGTTATAGCTTTTAATATTAAGAGGGATCTAATTATAGCCTAAAAAAAGGTTTAGGAGGGAAAGGATCTTATATATTAAGAAGTAGTTACTAAACTTATTTATATTTAGCGGTAGGTTTATATCTCTTATTATAACGGTATTTATATATATAGCGGAATTAATTAAGTATAGCCCTCTATCTTTCTTTACTATAAGGAAAAAGGGGTTCCTATAAAGCCTATGCCCTTCTTTAAGGACTCTTATTTTTAGTTTAATTTTAAGGATATCGATAACTTTCTACTCTATTGCTTTTAGGATTAGAATTAAGGCTACTTACTATGCCTTATATTCTATTATCCTAATAACCTATAGGGGGGCTATAGCTAGGTCGACTTTACCTCTTTCTATAAAGTCCTAAGATAACTCTACTTCCTTATTAAATAGAATACTATTAAAGATCCGGATTTCTACCTTTATAAGAAAGCCCTTAAATTATTCGTAAACTACTTTAAGTCTCTCTTATATTAGCCGCTTTCCTTTCTATATACTTAAGAATTTTCCTATTAAGTATTCTAGGTAGGGTCTAGGCTATATCTTATCTTTAATAGTATTCTATTTAGTCTTCTTTTAGTTAGGGTCCCCTTCTAGTATTAAGCCGTTTAATAGAGTATTATTATTAAGGTTAATCTTATTTACTTTTCTTTTAAAGAGAGTATTAACTCTTAGATTATATAATCTAATAGGTCGTTTCCTCCCTATCTTAACTTTAACCTTCTAGATCTTTTTAAACTTTTTTCTAGCTCTAATAATATTTTTCTTAAATTCTCTTATAGCCTTTATAACTATAACTTTAATAATCTCTTTTATTATTTTAGATCTAATAGCTAGAATCGCCTTATTTCCTTTATTTATAATTAATTACTATTATACTAGTACTATTAAGGGCTCGTTTACGTTAGTATAGGCTAGGTTAAGGACTTAGTTAGCGCCCCCTCTATAACTAAGGATCTTACCTCTTAGTAAGAGAATCTTAGCCGTTAAGGTATCTAAAAAGGGGTTTCTCTATAATTATTAAGTAGCTCCTAGGTTATCTTCTTTAACCTCTATTACTAAAGCTTAAAAGAAATTTCTTAGGAGCTAGGTAGCTATTTCCTATATAGTCTCCTTAAGCTTTAGTCTTTTATATACGTCTTTATTAACTATTAAGGTTATAGTTTTTTAGTATACGGCGGCTGAGAGCCCCTAACCTTAGTTTTGAGTTTGCACTAAGGCCGATTGCGCTATAGGAGCCCGCATCCTCCGTCCAGCACATATCGAAGTTCTTCGGAGAATAACCCCTAACCATAGAACTCTTACTATTACAGTGACGCGGGTCTAAATGTTTTAGACTAAGCGTCCACGTAGCATGTGCGCAAAGGAGGTCCCACTATACGCTCTCGGTCTGCTCCTTAGGTAGCTCGGTCGCGTGTCTCACGCCAGGTCCCACCCTGCCCGACGACAGGCAGCAAGGCAGTTTTAAATCAGAGCCGCCAGTTCCTAATGAGAACGGCAAATCGGATCTTCTCCGAGCGCCAACTCTCGGCTGTAGAGGTCTGTTACTACCTCCTTTGATATGACACCGACTTCACCAACGTGCCGCATTGGTCCTTCCTGAATCTTTTTTTTATTCATTACACGTATGTGGCCGTCTAGGCACGGACTTCTTCATTGCCGGCTGCTCTGTGGGAGGGTAGATGCCCTTTTTTCGAAGCCCCCTATGATATAACACGCTGCGAAGCCCTCTATGAACCCTTCCCAGAAAGACTCGAGGAAATCGTGCCTCGTGAAGTTCAGCTTCCCTGACTCGATGAATTCATGTCACACAACAGGATGCACGGACAGTGTGGGTGACTGAGCAACGATCGGGAAGAAGATCCCCTATAAATCGGGCAACGAAAGACTCTTGGTTTCTATCTAAATAAAAGACATATCTCTCTCTTATATACATGAGTAGAGAGACTAAGAGCACAGGCAGCAGCTTGGCTAGTGTGACTGCCTATTAGGCAGTAGGCAGCACCGTGAATGAGCGTCTTGATATTGACAATTCAAGTAAGATTGTCTGCTGTGCGTGCTTAAAAGGCTGGAAAACGCCTACATCGAGCGGCTGAAGGTTAAGCGTTGGATGCGGAGGGAACACCGCGACGATAATGTTAAATTTGATGCAATATTGGATGAAATCGAGGCCTATATGCCAAGTGAAGCCTTCGATGACGAGAAGACGATGAATTCGCTTGTTTTCCGGGAAAGGGCGTGGCTCCGCCTCGAGGAAGGGATATTCGGGCTCTATATACCACTTATCTACACCAAACCACTCCTCGAGGGTCTTTCCGGTGCGTTAGGCACGGGCAGACCGCTTCTAAGACTATATATTAAATTAGTATATCTAATTAAACGTTATTTCGCTATTGCTAAAGCCTATGTCGGATCGTGCGAATCGTATATCGTCGGGGGCGTTGATCTCGGCCTAAGACTCGCAAGGGAAGGTCTTGAACACCAGCCAAGGCGGGATCGTGTCCCTAACCGCGTTGGCAGTGGCAATAAGCGTATAAGACTCGCGATTCCCTAGGTCAGAGACTTAAGGGTGTTGATGACGCGTTGTATGCACTATAACGACGTGAATGCGTTCTCGTGGGCTTCTAATACGGATGCCGCACTCGTCTTCGTTCTAGACCTCTAAGGGGCCGATTCCGTACGAGCTAACGATCTCCTTAAGCCTTAAGAAGAGCTTCTCGACGTATGACACATCGTTGGCCTCAAATACCTTCCTAGACTTCTCTACGGCCTTTAAATATATAGTTCGAAGCTCTAGGTGGTCCTAAAGCTAACGACGATACTAGTTTTGGCTTAGTGGCTTCGCGTTAGGGTTACGGCGCTGAAGGAGCGTTAGAGCGGCCGATCTAACCTATATCTTGCTCGCTGGGAAGCTAGAGCGTTATAGCCATATCACACAGGCGGCCATGGCATCATCTTCGTCGTCTGAGAGCAGCCTTGGCCGGCCACGGCTTCGAACGCGACCCTAAAGCTATCGTAGATGCCGCTTGACGCCGTCTTGTACCGTAGAGCTCGGTACACCGAAGATCTGAGCCGCCTGCCGTATTGTGACTGCGTTCGGGAGCGCGCGGCGCGTCTGACGGCGCCGCCCTTGTGCGAGGGCATCGCGAGAATCTATAACTAGCTCCACAGCCCTTAACATGGCCGTCGGCTCAAGCCCGACGCATTGAGACATTGAAACACGCAATAGATATGAACGTTTTGGCACTGGGGTGGTCTAGCGATAGTCGGCCCATCCGAACCAAGTCCTTATGCGCGATCTCAGAAGCAGCATAGCCAAGCATTCGCGGGTTCAACCAACCCAAAAGAGGTCCTGAACAGTAAAAAGGCACCTTGTATTGGCACAACCCATAACCTCAGCCTTAGCTGCCCACCGACCTATATCGGGGAGTCGCCTACATATACCAACAACTACTCAATCCCTGGCGAGGCAACAAATCAGAATGCCCTCGTACAGCGTCAGTTGTCGCCCGCATCCAAGGGACGCGCCGTTGGCGAAAAGAGTTTGCGGCAGTCACCATTCGCTGCACTGAGCAGGCTCTTGGGAGCGACAGATATTGATGCGCTCACGGTAGATGTTCCGTGAAATAAACGTACTTCTCTCCTTGATATATCCAACCATGGGGATCCTGGTTGCGGGTCCATTCCGACCTCCTCGTCTTCCTTAGCTTCTTTTTCTTGTCGTAGAAGCAGAACAAACCATCTCTTTTTTTCACTTCGACTCGAGTAGCCTTACGCGTCGACTCGGAATGAGCAGATGGATTGGTTTGCATGTCTCGTCCTGTCTCTGCATCTTCAGTTTCGCTCGCGGGATAGTTGGAGGGACCTGCGCTGGTCGAGTCCTGCTGAGGCTCCTGCTGAGGTTCTTGGAGGCCGCAAAGTGTTGCATTGGCTGGCAATATTGTCGCAACCCGGCCGGACGTATTGTGGACGAACCTGTGCCGGCTCTCCTGCCTCCAGCTATCCAAAGGAGGGTAGTCATAGCCGACCCTGCCATTTTCGCCAGCTGCCATGAGGCACAAACAGAAAAGAGATAACTTCACAGTAAGCCGGCCCCTGCCGTGTGCGCCTTGAGGTATGATAGCGAACTCTGGAGGCAGAAACTCAGAATTTGCAGCATTCGCCAAATCGTCTTCGGCATAGGATTGGGCGCCAAAAGAGTCGAGGGACATGGATTCCATGACAGAAGATAAATCAGTATCGCCAGATGCGTACCGCTGGTGGGTTCCCCTAGTTGAGCGGGCTGAAGCCAGTCCATCGCCAACTCTTTCTCTTGTGAAGCGTAACACCACGAGCTCTTCGTCTGTTATGATGAAGCCATAGCGACATGCGCTCTCGGCGGCGTATGTGTTGACTTGAGACAAAGGCAATGTCCACTGCTGTCGCTCGGTCGCATTGGGTGACTGTTCCATGTCTGGCCTCCATTTAGCTGAGAGCTTCGTGTCTCCCGGGAGCAAGTTCCAGAACCTCCCCTCGGACTTCCTCAGGCTGGACACCAAGGACCAGTCTGGCGAACCGTCGCCATGGCACCAGCTTCCTGTACCGAGGTAAAACGCTTCCCTTCCCCATTCAAGGATATAGTTGGCTTCCCTGAGTGCTGCATTGACATAGGGCCACATATACTTGACTAAGAAGAAGTCTAAACTTCTCTCGTCACAGATATGTGAGTCGAAACCAGCAGTCATATCAACAGTTGGGGGAGGGGCTCTCCAGGTTGAATTGAGCGGCTGCCGGAAGATGGACAGCAAATTGTCGTAAGTGAAGTCCACCCACGGTTGCCAGTCCGTCACTGGTATCCAATCGTTACCATATGTGTTCGAACCAGCAGGAACGGAGCGCGAGTCCAGGCTAGGATTCGGCTTCACTAGAACGTCGAGAATGGTTTGAGGCATCGCGGGTTTAGCCCTTTGGTGATAGAACCTATCCGTTGCAACCAATACAATTACGTGAGTATGGCTCTTGTCGCGTGCTTCTACGATACTTGTATTTATAGCGTTTGTATCCTGACACAAATGGTCCCCAGTGTCACCTGCGTGCAAAGCCACTGAGTTGTGGTGCTTGACCTTTGAGCACCTGAATGTGACTCCGTCCCTAGAGCCACTGTGCTATGCGGCACGGCATACTGTACATACCCAGCATTAGTGACTGAATGTGAACTGCCTGCAGGACCGCAGTGTTGTGGTTCTTGGAGTATGCAGCACGCGTTTAAGCCACGCCGATGCAAGAACCGCAAGTCTGCGGTCTTGACTGAATGCCTGTCAAGTGACCACACAACTGTGGTCTGCACGTCAATTGTGGGGCACAGCATGATTCGCTCCATACCCTTCAGAGTGCCAGAAGCGCATGCCGTCGGTAAGCGACGACGGTGGTATCGGCCGAGATGTTTTTCCGTGCGCCATCTTCCATGTTCAGGCAACCCCTCACTGACCTTGTCGGCATCTTCATGTCCAACGTCATGGCGCTGTCCCAGTTGTCTCAAGAGGCGACAGAACAGTCTCTGCTAGAGGACGGGTACTATTGCTGGGAAGATGTATCTGCAGGCAATCGTGTATCAGAGATGGAAAGGAGGAAGTTCCCTTACTATTCGGAGTACGGGTTGGATTTCTGCGCCGACTTTGCATTCGATCCAGTAAGCGAAACAAACGCACTTTTGGTTGCAGAAGCTAAGCCGCTGCAGCGCATCCAGTCCATACTAGAATCCTCGCTCGAAGCATGTGTCCTCGGCCACTGGCTCAGATACGGAGAGAACGCCAGCCATATCGAATGCTTCAGACGTGGGGGACGAGAGGCAGGTCGACGAGTGTTCGTGGTCCAGGTATGGTCCAAAGGTTCGCAGGTTGATTATTATGGGGGATCGCACCTGCATAGCCTGAGTACTACGAAGGGGTTGAGGTCCGTGTATGAGGTCCCATCGTCAGAATTGGATCGCGTCGGCTGTGAACCAGACCATAGGAACTTTCCGGATGGAGGTTTGTAGGTCACCCAGGTACCCGCAAGATTGTTCACGCTAATAAATTAAAGAGTAATAGCGGACGCCCGATTAGCGTTCGAAATCAAGAGCGGATACGCGATCACATTCCTATTTGCAACGGAGGAGGTAGTGGCGAGATGGGCCAAGATAATCATTCCGCATTCTGCGGCGCTTGCAGAGAAGGTGGCGAGTATTGAGAGAAAAAGCGCGCAAATCACGTTGAACTTCCAAGTTTCAGGAACCCAATAACCAGACAGAAGGGGAAGACATCAGAAAAGCTAGTAGGCAGACGCATCGTTACCTGAAATCACGCTACCGTGCTGTGCCTCCACTTCCCACTGGCCGACAAGCAACGGGACTCCGTTCATAATTTGCATCAGCGGCGCATCAAAGTCTTCCACCGAGTCCAAAGCGGTAATCTGGCCAGTCGAATTCTCCAATGCTTGTTGCTGGTCCTGCAGGGTGTCCAGATTTGTTGTATGGGTTGTTGTACTGTCTGCGGGCGCGTCAAATGTGGACAGCATCTCTGCCGAGCCCCTTTTGCTTCGTTCGAGTCGTTTCTCGCGTTCTAATCCTGAATTAGGTCTGCGGGCCTTGAATTGTGGTTGCGACGCCTCAGTATCCATGTCAGACTCATGCAGTGCTCGTTTTCTGGCTCTTTTCCTCAGCGCAATATCAAGTTGCTCGTCCGCTAGTTCGCGAAGTTGGTCGCTTGTTTGCTTCATGTATGCCGTCTTTCTCTTATTGTCGTCGGTACATGTCTCGGTGTGCCTTCGAACTTCTCGAACCGACCTAAAAAGCCTTGTACAGCATACGCAAACCTCGTGGCAAGGAACATCTGCATATATCCAAGGTCAGTCTCGTATCTGTTGCCCAAGAGATGGTGGAGGATACGTTGTTCGTAATGCAGCCGAAGCTTCTGCCTTGTAATGAATGGCTTTGTTCGTTCGCAAGACGGACAACGAAGCTCGGCTGAAGTGCTCGGTTCCATAGTTCGAAGTATGTTACTGCGACTGTCACTGGGCCGAAGATTGCTTTCATCGGATGGTTCATTGTCTGTTACTCTTCCATGAGAGCGATATCTCCGCACTTCGGTTTCCAACCATTGTATCCACTGGACGCGAAACTGCCAGCGGTATTGTGTCAGTCATGATATTATGGGGTTTTGGGGGAACGGACCCGTTCTTGCTCTATGTTTTCATCGAGGTGCCTCTGCAGATCATCCTCCGTCTCAAAGGAGGCCGAACAAGTACATTGTGGACGGTTCACGGTGGTCGGGCACATAGGGATACACCTGTGTATTGAGGATGAATGCACTTGAAGTCTTTGCCAGGAATGGACCACCTTTTTGACTGTGCAACGGCGGGAAATTGTCTGGTGACGCTAACACGTGCGCTTGTCTGGGTCCATATCTCTTAACGCCGAGCGCCAATCAGCATCCAGTAACGTTACTGAAGGCTGGGCAGCAACACTTTTTGCCCTGCAGATCATCCGTTTAAATACTGGGCTGCCTTGCCACTGGCGCTGGCACACACCCAACATTTCCCGACCGCGCAACATCATCTACAAAGTCTATTGTGCTGCAGCAAACATGGAAGGGTGCGAGACTTGCGGAGGCGAAGGGACCGTCAACGGCATTACATGCCCAACTTGCCTCGGAAAGAAGAAATGAACCTTTTCGGAGAGGTGTGTCACAACTGAGGTGCCATCCACACACTGTTCTACCAGCACTGACAAACGCAGCAACGGCGACGGCAACGGCAACGGCAACGACATCCCCTAGAATCGAAGCGAGAAATACAAGTGGTAGTCGCTAGTTGCTCTCAGGACAGCTTGTCCTACAAAGTGCTGTTATAGATAAGCAATACTATATTATCTCTTCTGCTTGTCGTCGCCTGTATAGTGAGGAGAACCATCCAGCTTGCCAGGGACATATGAGGTCCGCAAGATCCAACAAAATTCCAGGGCCCTTCCAGTTCTCCGAACGCAGCGGGACCATGCAGAATCCACTGAGCCAAAAGAAGTCTAACTGAGATTGCAGTACGTCTGCAGCGAGAGCGCAGGAATTATCGGGTAGAAATTCATAAAGGACGGCGTAATATGACTCGGTTGGTGAGATCCCACGCGCAAGGCCATCCATCTTCACTTCGGGGGGGCGCGCATCTGGGCGCAAGGCGCAGAGGTCCTCGCCCCTGACGGTCGTCCACCCAAAGCATTTCCTCGTCCGTGGAGTATTGGTATTATTGACAGCGCCTGGCACGTCTCGAAACAGTTTTTGCTGACGGCCCTCGTTAGAAAACGCGTGTAGATTGCGTACGGCATCGGAAAATGTTCTCGGGTTCGGCTTAAGCCAGATTGAGTTGGGGTAATGCTCGGTTGCGAAGTGTATCATCTGAAGGAGAGACGCATTCTGGCACTCCCGTTGCATCGCCCAATATCGGGTGTCTTCCGGAGCCTCAGTGTCCCAGAACTGTCCAACATGAGCCAACGGTTGTGTTGAGCGCAGTGTAGAACTTACTACTTTGAGGGCCGCGATACGATTGTCGATTTCCACTTTCCACACGATGCCATCCAGCCCATAGCCAACTAGATCGATGAAGGTCAGGTTGTCTTGTAGATTACACCGCCTCAGCATAGGGCGCCTGAAGTCTGACCAGGTGCAAGTGATTTCGCGCTCGTCCATCAATCTCTCGTCGAGGAATCGCTGCTGCTTCGCCTTTCGACATCTTTTCTCGAAGGCCGACACCAATGGGCTTTTTCCGGGGGGCCGCCAGCGTATACGTTCCGATAACGACATTGCACGAATGGAGTTCGTAGTGGTGAAGGGAGGCTGGCTCTGCAATTCGGTCTCGCTTTTGGAGTTGACTCATCGGCAAATTGTAGGTCCGCCCCCTCAGGTTTGGCTTAGTAATTGCGCCAACGCGGCCCACTCATCCTGGGTGGGGGGCTAACACAGACCCCACGCCTGTGCTGCATAGACAGGGACCGCAACTTCGTGGCTGGGCGATAAGCATTGTGAGACAGGGACCACAAAATTGCGGTCTTGAGGGCATTGTGCCACGACCACACAGTTGTGGTTCATGTCACAAGTGCAGGGACTACAATCTTGTGGTCGTGCCAACTGTACGGACTTTCGTCTCGGTGAGGGGCTGGGAACTTCGGATCACTGTGGCTTACATGAACGGGCCATAATCAAGTCGGACTGTCACCGCGAGAAAGACGGGGAGACGGATCGCCGATATTTGCCTTGTCCTCAATTGTTTTCTCGAGATGGAGGATGAGTACGGGACAGAGTTTCGGTGGATACTGGCATTGGAGCCCTATATAGCTCCCAGCCATCCAGGCTCCTGTGAGCTTCTAGGTATCTGTCGATGGACTGTTATTCTGGTACTCATGAGGTAGGGGCAGCACAAGAAGGGATAAAGATGCATGATCTAGCTAGAAAGAATCGGCCACAGGGCCCTATTTATGCCGTAGTCAGAGGGACCCTCAGGTGACTTACATAGGCACCAAACTGGCCCCATACGTGAGGTCTTTATGGGTCCCCAATACATGGCCTCATAATGATCCTTCAGGTGGCCCTCCCTTGATCCTTCAGGTGACCTACTAAGTCAGCACACCTAGCTTCCGGCACCCCCCACTTCCGGCACCCTTCGCAGCACCAAGGCAGGCATATTCCAAACGCAATTAAAGCCGCATTTTAATATCACGATAATTAAATTTAGTGTTTCTAGCTATTAAATCCTACGTTCTAATTGGCTGTGGCGGCGGCAACCGGCTCAAGCGTGCGCTCGAGCTATTTCTTTATCTTTATAACTTATTTAATCTATACGAACCGCCTATTAGGGTCCTAAGGGACCTTTTTCTATTTTTAAGGCCGTAGACGATATAATTAATACTCTAGCTGCTATATTCGAAGCTAGGAGGCTATAAGCTGCTAATTTTACTTATTAAGGCTACGGCCAACCTTACTAAAGAGTAGTCGGATCGTACGGTTAACTTAACCGCGGTTTTCTAGCCCTATAATAAGGCGACGGACTTCTTATAATCGTTTAAGCGTTTTAAGGGCATTATAAATAGCTAGGGTACTAAAATTCTTTCTTTTTAACGGCGTTAACGGCGTTAACGGCTATAGTAAGACGAACCGGCTTAGTAAGGGCTTTACTATATTAACTAGCTATAGTCCTAACTTACGCTACCCGCCCTTAATATTCTTTTCGGTTAGACCGGCCTATTAAGCCTAATAATATACTTAGAGGAAGGTAGCCTTACTAATTAGTACTATATCGTCGAAAGATACGATTTTTTTAAGTTAACGTTAGTAGGTAGCCTTAATTAGCGAGAAAACCGAGATATTAAGAGGTTAAAGGATATAGGAAGAGTATACTAGTAGAAAAAGAAGATAAATATAATTATTAAAGTATTTATATATAAAATCGTCGGTCTAATAGCTCCTATAGCTATTAACGATAAGGAGAACGTTCCCTTATAGGTAGCGCCTTATTTAAGGGATAAACACTTACTTAAGCTATTAAATAGCGATAGAATCGCTTATCTAGCCCTTTAAGGAAGTAATAAAGTCTTAATCTTTTAGAAAATCGAGTTTATTAGGGAACTATTACTATTAAAGGTCTTAGCCCTTAAAGATTATAAGGGGGGTTAAGGCCTAGCCTATTATAAAGATATATTCGACGATTATAGTCTAATAACGCGATCTAAGCCGCTTCTTAATAGCCTCCTTCTTCTCTAAGCTCCCTAGTACTAGCTTATTATAGCTAAGGCCCTTAAGGATGCTTATTTCGTTTATATTAAAGCGTAATTTTAGTAGGATTGCCTATATAGCCGGTAGCTTAAGTAATTAAAACTATTCCTTAATCCCGCTAATAAAGGCGCCGTTAATATAGGCAGAATTAAGAGATTTACCTTTAATCGTACTAATCTCTAGGTTTTAAGCTAAAAAGCTCGAAACCTAGTATTTTCTAAGCGGGCGGGGGTCTCTACTAGCTACGATAATACGGCCAGCGAATTCCCTAAGTTAATAATACGTTAGAGGCAGCCTAAGGGCCGCTTAGGTAAGAACCTATTTATAGAGGTGTTTTTCCTACTCTCGACTAAGCCTTTAAAATACCTCTTTTGCCTCCTTTATAGGTAGGGCTCCTTTAAAACGCGTCTAAAGGGTTATTCTTAGAATACCCTACTTACGACTAGCTTAGAGCTAAGGTATACTATTATTAATAGCTTCGAGCGCTTCTTAGAGCTGGTTTCTCGGTATATTTAGAAAGATAAGGTATTACTAATTTAAATAATATTTATTTTATAATTATTAAATACGAGATATACTAGAAAACGCGGTTACGATATAGTAGGTAGTTAACGCGATAGTAATATAGGGAGGTACGGGAAGTAAGGGGTGCTAGAAGCTAGGTATACTAACTTAATAGCGGTGCCTATAATACTAGCCGATAGATAGACTAAGTAGCGACCGTATATAGAAAGGCCCGCGTCTCGCTACCGTACGGCAATAATTTAGTAGTGTCCCTAAAAGAGCCTAGCCTCTTCGAGCTATAGCTAAGTTAGCGACGTAAGAGACTTTTCGACTCCGTACGGGAAATAGCACCCTTCCCGTTATTATCTATTACCTAGCGGCTAGAACGACGTAGGGTAAGGCGCTATAGCCGTATTTAGCCTTAGGAGATAGTATCTATAGTAAGAATAGTAACCTTCGTATTAAATCTATATATAGTATTATTTTTATGCCCTATAATAGTGGCTCTAGAAGTCGCTTTATTATTTAAAATATACTATATTTAGCATAAAAGCTTAAAGAGCCTATAGAGAGGAGGTAGGCGACGCGGCTAATTATAGCCGTTAAAATAAGAGATTTATAAGTAGAGAGGTATTATAGCTAGAAAGAAGGGTAGTCTTACTATACCCCGTGAATTTTAGTCTAAGCTCGTCCTAGCTTACTCTTATAAATTAGGGTACGAAAATATATATTAGTACTTTATAACTTATACCCTCTACCCTATAATAATTAAGCGGGGTTAACTTACGTACTCTAGCCTATAATAAGCTTAGCTATCTAAAGCGCGCTACGCTTAGAGTCTCTTACTATTAGTTTAAGGCGAACGCTTAGACGCGTTTAGACCGGTTTCCTCTATATAGTATAGCTCGCTTATTAAAGCGGCGTATAACTAGAGGGATAAAAGTTAAGAAGCTTCTAAGTCCCGCTTAAGTTACCTAACGTATACTATATATATCTAGCTACCCCCTAAGTTATAGGTTAGCCCCGTCCTCTCTCTCTATCTTTATAACTTCGATAACGCTTAAAGATAGGCCTAACGATATCGTAAATTAAGTAATTTATTAATTACTACTTACTCTAAGCTAATATCGGATAACTATTAAAAGTAAGTATTAATATTAAATATATATAAAACTATACTACGGTATCCTTCCTCTTAGATAAAAGATAAAACGATAATAACTAACTAGCGACCGTAGCGAAGAAATAGTAAATTAAGTATAAGGAGGTCGTCGATAAAGCTTTACGTCCGCTACTTACTCGACGCCTTAATAGAAGCTATATTCGAGCGTATAAAACGTTTAAATATCTTAGCTATCGTAGCTATAGTCTTATTTAAGGTCTTTTACGTTTTAGCTATATTAATTATTATAGCTTTTAAAAGTATAGCGCGAAGCTAGTACGATAACCTAACTACCGGCTTAGCTAAAGGCCGGTATTAATAAAAAATAGCCCGCTAAGCTTTATAGCAGAAAAATAAAGTAGAGCCTAAGAAGATATCGTTATATAATAAGGTTAAGGATAATTATATAATTAACTATTAACTAAAAACGCTTATACTACCGATTAACGCTATATACCCTACGTATATAAAGGAGTTACTTTCTAAGGTTACTTTATAGCGGGGCTAACGCGATTCCGACTAACTAAAATAATACCTATAATAGCTAGCGTAAGATTCCTATATATTATAACCGCGACTTAGTATAAGGACGGACTAGCTATAAAAGAAGGGAGGGTTTTCCTCTAAGTACTTTAGTTTTTCCCTTCTATTTAACGCTAAAGTTTTAGATACCTTTAGATAGGTTACTAGTATAATCTTAATAATAATAATAACCTATATTAAAGTAAGCTTATTATATACTAGTCCTTTAATATAAAGCGAGTACTTTAACCTTACTATTTACCTAAATCTAATATAAGTCTAATAAGTAATTAAATAGACTAGCTACTATATATAATTAAACGTATTATATAAACTAGCTATTATACGTTATTATATATATTAAATATAAACTAGCTACTAGTCTTATAAGTTAAAGTAAGAGTAATAATAACTATCTATATTTTTTTCTACTTACTTAAGATCTAATTCTTATAAAGAGAGATATAAAAAGTATATAAAAATATATAAAGGTAAAATTAAAAGTAAGGGGTTAGATAAGTAGGGCAGAGATATTTAATTCTTATAGGGGCAGTAATTATAGTAAGGGAGTAAATATTATATTTCCTTAATTCTCCTTCTTTCCTTTATCTAACGCCTTTCTTTATACCTATCTAGTATCTTAATTAATAAAGAAGATCTTACTTAAAGAAGCTATTAATATCCTTTTAACTACTAAGCCTTTTACTAGTTTTTCCCTTTTATTCTAGCCGTT